TTAGAACAACACGCAGCAACACTACACATGAGTGAGAGGAGGGACGTTTGGGGTCTTCACACACCCCTGTTCTCTGCTGGCCATCGGGGCGGGGGGCTGGGAGGAGGTGTTGGCTGTCTGATTGGGATCTGGGATGCGGGGCCTCCCTGCTGCTGTGGAGCCTGGTGCGGTCTGCTTGCCTCCACCCCGGGGGAAAGGGTAACATCTCCTGGGTCTGGGTACCGTTTCCCCCTCCAGGGGTGAGGGTACCTGGACCCGGGGTATAGAGTTTGTTTGGGGAGTGTGATTGTGTGTTCAGTGTCCATGTATGTCTATCCCTACTTTGGGTGAGTGCTGAGTATATGTGTGCATGAGGGTGGGAATGCATGTTTGTGTCTGTTTGTCTGTGTCTATATGTCAGGTCGGGTCTTAGACTCCACCTCTCTGGGAACTCCCAGGCCCTCCAAGGCCTATCTCCCCTCACCACACTCCCTGCTGGTGACTGATGCCTTCAGGTGATCCAGGAGATTTTTTTTCTCTTCTTTCTCTTTTTAAGTTTCCTTTCTCACTGCCCCTCTTCCCTTCTGTTTTTCTTTTCCTTCATCTTTCTTTCTCCCTTTCCTATCCCTCAGCCATGTCTGTAACAACTGAAAATAAAATAAATAATAACAACAAAGGTTGATCAAATGGACCAATACGGCAAGGCCATGATGATCCATTTGGCAAAGTAAATCCATCGGGTCTCCTTGTTGGTCTTCAGACAACAATTCTGACGGCTAAAGAACCAAATGGGACAGGCAAAAAAATAAATAATCTGAAGAGACAGACAGTTCTGTTGCATTTGAGAAGTTTGATGTGAAAGCTGCTGTAATTTCTGCTGAAATCCCTCATCTGTTATACATCAGGTTTCTCTTAATTTTTCCTTTAATGTTTATTTGAATTTTAATTCTAAAAATGTTATCCTTATTACATGATCATTGTTCCTCCACTTGGAAACAGTAGTATTTAGTAGTAGTAATAATAATAGTACTATAATCAAAGAAATGTCTCACTGATCTATTAATTGTCTATGTATCACAGGCATTCAAGCTGTAAATAGTTATATCATTACTTAAAAAGTCATCCCAGGACTCAGCTTGAAAACGAAAAACTCGCTGAAAAGCCTTCAGCTGATCCAAAATGCTGCAGCAAGAGTCCTGACAGGGACTAGAAAGAGAGAGCATATTTCTCCTGTTTTGGCTTCCCTTCATTGGCTTCCTGTTAAATCCAGAATTGAATTCAAAATTCTGCTCCTCACATACAAGGTCTTAAATAATCAGGCCCCATCTTATCTTAATGACCTTGTAGTACCATATCACCCTATTAGAGCACTTCGCTCTCGCTCTGCAGGCCTACTTGTTGCTCACAGAGTATTTAAAAGTAGAATGGGAGGGAGAGCCTTCAGTCCTCTATTTTAATTGTGGTACAATCCAAAGATGCCTTCTGTTACTGTGGTCCTGTCACCTGCTGACTTGAGATCAGTTACATCTTTGCATACATTAAAAACAGACTCCAGACCTTTTTCCATTGGTGGTGTTGTTAGGTTTAGTTTAGTTCTGTTTGCTGTTTTCACTGCCTTAAGCTGTTGTAAACCTAAACAGGTTTTTATGTCTTTATCTTCTGTGTTAAGAATATTTAGTTAACATGTAATAAAATGTGTGATATAAATAAAATTGCCATTTTCAGAAGCGTCTTAATTCTTCATGACAGAGATTTAACCAGTTACAGAATCATTCCTCATAACTAGGGATGTAAGAAAAATATCGCTCGAAAATCACAATATTTTGTTTTATGATACCGAGTCGATATTCAAAAGCAGTGTTATTGATTTTTTTTATTGACAATTTACATGTGTGATGGCAAGGCACACATGGTAAGCTCCACACCTCACCACCAGTTGATTCACTTTAGTTTACATTGCAGTCATTAATATATTATTGTTCAATATTGTTTCTTTATTAAATGAATTTATTTTTCCATCACACCTTCAAATGTTTATGTGGCGTGCATATAAATATTAACCCATATTAACACTGCAAGGTCAAAGTTCTGTTATATTCATACATTTTCTTTGTTTGAGTTAGCTGGTGTTTGGCTTCTCCTGTCTGGCAAAGGGCTGAGAGACTAAAGAAAGGCATCTCAAACATTATCAGTGAAACACAATCAGGTTTTTTGAAAGGAAGACTAATTCATAACAATATTAGGCTGGTTTTGGATCTCCTTGAATACAGTGAATTAATCCAAGAGAGAGGATACATCCTGTTCTTGGATTTTTGCAAAGCATTTGACTCAGTTGAACATACGTTCATATTTAAAACTCTGCAGTCTTTTGGTTTTGGACAGGAATTTATTATTATTAATTCTAGGCATTCCAGTATCCAGCTGTGGGGCATTGAGTCATAGGCCTTCTTGTAATCAATCCAGGCAGTGCACAGGTTGGTCAGTCTGGTCTTGCAGTCTCGGCTGACTGTTCTGTCTACCAGTAGCTGGTGTTTTGCACCTCTGGTATTCTTGCCAATCCCTTTCTGTGTCCCACTCATGTATTGACCCATGTGCCTGTTCATCTTAGCCGATATGATGCCTGACAGGAGCTTCCATTTAGTATTGAGGCAGGTTATTGGTCGGTAGTTGGAGGGGACCGGTCCCTTCTTGGGGTCCTTGGGGATCAGGACCGTCCGACCTTCGGTTAGCCATTCCGGGTGTCTCTCGTTAACTAGCAGCTGGTGCATTTGTGCTGCCAGACGCTCGTGGAGTGCAGTCAGCTTCTTCAGCCAGTAGGCGTGAACCATGTCGGGCCCTGGTGCTGTCCAACTCTTCATACTGGAGACCCTTTCTTGGATATCTGCCACTGTGATGGTTACTGGACCCTGCCACTGAGAGTACACCTTTGCTGGTTCTGTGGAGAACAGCTGGTTTATTCTCCTGCCTTCTATCTCTCTGGTGTACCTCCTCAAGCGGCTGGCCAAGGCTGTGAGTCTTTGCTTGGCAGTTTCCAAGGCCTCAGGTATGGACAGCTTGCTGTATTTCTTATGCACCTTCTTCGCCGCACCTTTCTGCAACTCCGTTAGTTGGCTAACCTCCCTCCGTGCTACTTTGATCTTGCCCTCTAGCCTCCTTCTCCTCCTCTGATAAACCTCCACCTGTACCAACAGTTGATCTGAACATGAAATCATGGCCCAAACTACTTGTTGTCAGACCAATATCTTTATTTTTCACATCAAACTGTTTTATAAAAGAAACTTTACACGGAGTTAATCAAATATAACTAATGCTTTAACAGTATCACTGTTTCACAATACAAACCCAACAAGAAAACAGCTGCAAAACACGCAGCTCAAAATGCATTCACTAAACTACACGAGGATTTAAAGAATACAGAAAATACACTAAAGTGAAAGGAGGACCCAAAAGCAGAGGTTTGATAGAATTTGAATTAAGTAAAAGTAGTCTTTGTGATCGTTTCAATGGTCCTGATATGTGCTGCACATCAGCTAACCTTAACAATTCTTTGCTGCCACTGTGAATAAGAATGTGTTCTTTGCCTGATTAAATAAAGATTACACTCACTGCTCAATCTCCTGGTACAAACTGGTACTACATGGAAGTACAGCCCATTGCCAGTTTAGCTTGAGATTCTTTTTTGTGGACATTAAGTCAAAGCAGCTTTTGTTTCAAAGCTGGTTGACAATTAAGTTTGTATTGGGTGCTGTAAGAGCAACTAGTGTGAAATTATTTGCGGTTTTGGGAGAAAGGGATTTAAGATTAAAGTTTAAAAAGATAACACATAAAATTACAATAAAACAAGGTGGGTTTTAAAAAAGAGCATCAACATTTATCAAAGAAAAATTAAGTTGATCTATATATCCATAATTCCAACTTCTAAATTTAAGATGTTTAAAATGTTTAGTAGGTTTAATCAGCAATATGCAGACATCTGACAATAAAGAACGTGTGAAGGTGAGTGATTAAACAATGACTTGACTCAGGTACAAGTGCTTCTTCAGAGAAGTCTTTTCTTCAAGGAATAAGGCCTAGGAAGTAGGCTAACAGGTGGCAAGGCACTCAGGTAAGTGCTATTCAGATAAGAGTTAAACAAGAATCAACAACTCCTCTCTTATTTTCTATAGGACAAACATTTTCAACATTAAAGTTTCTTTTACAGAATGAAAATCTCTCAAAGAAAAAAGAAAACACTTGATGTACACATCTATACTTGCAACTTCCTTAGTTTAACATCCAGGATTATTCACTGCAGGTCCAAATCAGAGGTACCTCATCAGATCCAAGTGTGACATCAGCTGCACTCTCTACAGGAGACTCCAGCTGAACTCTGTGGAGCCTGATCTCAAGGTGTTTAAGTCTGACCCTGAAACCAGAAGAGGATCTTTCTGTCTCGTCAGATTCATTGTGATCCAGTGATTTCAGTCATGCATGATCACGCTGATGTTTGCACAGAGCAGATAATGAAGTGAACGTTTTTGCACATTGGTAACAGTGAAACTGTTTATTTACAGCGTGGGATCGTTTGTGTGCGGAGTATGAACTGAGATTCTTGAAGCTCTTGTCACACTGGTCACAGCTGAAGTTCCCTTCAATGTGTGCATCTTCATGAACATTACGATGGCCTGAACTTGAGAAGCTTTTGTCACAGTGTCTGCACTTATATGGTTTCTCTCCTGTGTGGACTCTTTTATGGTCTTTAAGCTGATTTGCAGTGAAGAAAGATGAACCACACTGGTCACAGACGTGGTTTTTAACCCCACTGTGATAAAGATAATGTTTTTTTAATTCACTTGATGTGGGGAAGCCTCTCCCACACTCTTTGCAGTAATTCATGTTGTCTCCAGTGTGTCTACGTTGATGTAGTTTTAGGCTATCTGGATGATTGAAAGTTTTTCCACAAAGGTCACAATGAAACGCTTTCCCACCACCACAGCGACGACAGGGTTGAGAACTGGATCCATCTGTGTCGCTCTGCTTCTAAACAAAGACACAAAGACAGTGTAAGTTATGATGATATTAAAACATCTATTGTTTCATATTGTATGCAAAACCAGCTGTTCACGGCAATATTTTTTAATCTATTTGATGGTCGCTGTAGAGGCTATATCAATCTCTTGAAGTTCTCTCTTGCTCTTTTATTTAACCTCCTAAGACACTCTTTCATGGCATACATTTTCAATTTCTCTTTGCTATTTGTGCTGATTGGGACCTAAAGAATGTAAAAACAAAGAATTACCTAATTATTTCTTTTATCTGACTTTTGTTTCTGAGAAAAATGACATCCACATAACAGGACATGTGATAGAAAAGTGGTAGTATAGTGTACTTTAAGTTGATATCAGGCCTTTGTAGAGCAAATGTTTTTTTAAATTTTGGTGTAAACAATCGAAATTGTGATGTCTAGGTTGTATGAGATTAAAATAACCACACTATGGATGGACAAATGAATGTTTTTATTAATACTTTCGTTAGGAAAACCACCGTTAGTGAAACCATTGTGTGACTCCGCTGTCAGCTTGTTTATTTTCCACATAAACCTGTCACGATAAAGTTCAAAATCCTGTTGTCTAAGGAGCTTGGAAAGAAAAGCGTCCGGACTTCTTTAGGTTGCTTGAAGACGTTTCACCTCTCATCCGAGAAGCTTCTTCAGTTCTAGTGTCAAATGGTGGAGAGTCCCAGATTTAAACCCCGTGGGAGTTTCCCCCCAAACAGAGATAAAAGGACCCCCTGATGATCTTCTACCTAATCATGAGTACAGTGTGAAAACGGGTGTGGGTCACAATCAGCCAGGATTTCGGGCGAGCTCATTGTGAAACCTAGCCCCACCCTATCATGTGATTTCCTGAGGTCAGATGGCCCAGGGTGTGAGTCAACGTTAAGGCATCTGGGAAGGGATCTCAAAACTGAACTAGAAAAAGTTGCATTTCCTGCGAAAATGCAGTGTGAATGCCGTGTAGTGGAATCTGAAAACACTGTGTAGAAGCTGAACTCTGCTGAAAACTGCTTTATTTGAAAGACTACACTGAAGAGTGTCAAGAAAGCAGATTACATGCAAGCAGGGAAGATGTAAAGCATCTGTCTCATGTAGTACTCGAACCCTTGCCAGAGCAGCTGTGCAGCCCACTGCGCCAAACCAGTTCTGGTCTCAAAACAAAGATATGATGATGATATGATATGATCTACTACGGTGGCAGTAGATGCTAATCTATGACGAAGGATACGGTGAAAGATAGTATCAAAAGCTGCTATAAGGTCAAGGAGAATGCGGGTGGTGATGAATACAATATTTGAATTTTTAAAAAAGCCCTCCACATTTTCTGGAAATATTTGTTGGTGTTTTTAATTGCTTTTTTGTACTGCTTGAACACTGAAGTGGCCCTCCAGTGAGATGATGGCCCACAGCACATTTAAGTTACGTTACATTACTCTAAATGAGTAATGTAATGGAATACGTTACAAACTACTTTTTGGGGCATGTATTCTGTAATGTGTAGTGGAAAACAACATTGGTCACAAGATATTAACTCTCAAGCTGCTCTCCGATGCATCCATTGGAGTGTGAATGTTAGACAGAAAGGTGAGAAACTTAAAACTTTACGTTTTTTCCAACATCAGGATAATTTCAGGAGATTTGTCTCAGATTTGACTGAATATTCTGTACATGAGGTTTTCATGTCTCATTTAGCTTTGAAATTAAAATCAATTCACAAAATACTTCAAAATAAGTGTGACTGTACAAAGAAAAATACATACCTCACAGTAAGTGCACTTGTAGAGTTTCTTTCTGGTGTGAATGTGTTGATGTTGTCTCAGGGAACGTGGCTCTTTAAAAGTCTTCTCACACAGGTCACATTTATGAGGTCTCTCCTCAGTGTGGCTAAACATGTGCTGCTGTAAATATTTGTATGCCACAAAGGTTTTGCCACACTGATCACAGAAGCAAAAGTCTTTTTTGGTGTGAATGCGTTGGTGAATATTACGGCTGAGTGGCCAGCGGAAGGTTTTTCCACAAATGTCGCAGCTGTACGCCTTAATTCCAGAGTGGGTAACTAGATGCCTTTGTAAGTACTTACTACAAGCAAAAGCTTTACCACACTGATCACAACTGTATGCCTTAATTCCAGAGTGGGTAACTAGATGACTCTTTAAGCTTCTACTATGAGCAAAAGCTTTACCACACTGATCACAGCTGTATGGTTTAACTCCAGAGTGGGTAAATAGATGACTCTGTAAACTTCCATTGTCAGCAAAAGCTTTACCACACAACTCACAGCTGTACGCTTTCATTCCAGAGTGAATAACTTGATGACGTCGTAAGTGGCTTCTGTGATTAAAAGCTTTACCACAACAATCACAGATGTACGGTTTAAGTCCACTGTGGACGAATTGGTGTGTTTTTAAGTTGCCAGAACGGCTAAAATCCTTCCCACACTCCTCACAGGTGTATTTCTTTTCTCTTTTCTGTCTTTGAAGTTCATCAGCCTCCTGAGAGTCCTGACTTCTTGCTCCATGTTGGTCCTGAGGTGACAGAGATACAAACAGGCAGTGAGTAAAATGCAGTCGTGGAACAAACTGAACTTTCCAACTCCCTCCATTAGTTGAATCAAAGATGTTAACAAAAACATTGTAGGTGTTGGTGATAGTATCACATTATAATCAGATGCTACAATGAGAGTTGTACTTAAAATGCAGGGTTCATACGCCTTTTTTAGAGTAAAATTTAAACACTAATACTAATAATAATAATAATAATAATGGATTGCATTTATATAGCACTTTTCGGAGCTCTCAAAGCGCTTTACAATGCCACTATTCATTCACTCTCACATTCACACACTAGTGGAGGCAGCTACACTTGTAGCCACGGCTGCCCTGAGGCAGACTGACAGAAGCGAGGCTGCCATCACCTCTTTAAGCACTTTTAAGGTCCATTTTGAAGCCCTTTCAGCACAACACTAAACATAAAAATAACAATGTATGTTTCACGTCACATCAACCCTGGTAAGACCATGTGAAAATTAAAAGAAATCATCCTTGGTTGACTTAAACGCTTTTGTTCCCTTTTTGTTAAAACTTACAAAAACGCACCACACAAAAACACTGCAAAGGGAAAAGGTCGTCTTGTATGTATATAGTGTATGAACTCAGTTAAAAATGAAGATGTGCAAATGTGAACAAATCAACATGTTGAGATATTCATGTCACATTGAAAAAAACAAAAACACCCCAACCCCACAAAACAAGAAAACGGCACTGTGGTTGTCTTGTGAGGTGGTATAAGTCAATAACCACATGTATGTGTATTGCATGCATGTAACCCCCACATACTGTTCCAATTGGATTAGCCCACACAGGTACGGTGGCTCATAACAGACAAATGATGTAAAATGATAATTTAACCAAATGATCTACATCCTTTCCATTTAGCTTTCAGTCTTTCTAGACGTTATTTTTTTAAAGTGAATTTTAAGCTAACAGTGTTTATGGTTGGACAAACCCCATACCTCAGTACAGCACCAATCATTAGAAATGCAAACACCCAGTCAACTTCATTTCTCAACATATTGACTTTAGACTGATTATACATACATGTGATGCCATTGTGTTTATCTTGGGTTAGGTCTGCAGATGTGACCTGCATATGTAATGTATGACGCCTGGTTTACAATCTCTTTGTGTTACACTATCTCATACCGTACATTACCAAATCTCCATTTGCACTATTTGCCTATTTGCACTACTCTGCCTGGTTTGCACTCAATGTCATTTACCCTTATATTGTATAGCTTTCTTGTTATATGTAAAATTGTATTATATTATTTAATTTTTTTTACTTTAAAATATTTTACTTGCATTTTTAATCACTCTTATATTTAAATGTTCATTTTCTATTTTATCTAGGGATTGAGAGTAACAAAGTTTCTATTCTCTGTATGTCCTGTACATGTGGCAGAATTGACAATAAAGTTGACATTGACTTTGACTTTGACTTGGTCGGGTATTTGCACAGGCTTGGGAGATGATGCGCTCTGTGAGTCTTCATTTGAGCGTGTGTGGTGCTGTGGTGTTTGCAGTGCGAGTGTAGAACTATCCAGAATGGTTGGTGTCCTGGCACTCAGGGTCATAGTCATGGAGCTATGGCGGCGGCGGATCTGCCATTGGGAGGATGTGGCAGCGATTCCTCCTGTAGGTTCTTCTGTCGATCTGGATGATGTAGGATCGTGGCTCGTTGCTCTTCCTTCCTACAGTTCCTAGCTTGTCAGAGCCTTTTTCTGTCTGCATTCAGACCACTTGTCCTTCTTGCAATGGCTGTAGTGTGCAGCTGGACCTGTCCCATGACATTTTAGTGTGAGACTTTTGACACAAAGTCGGTCACTGATCTGCCCTGAGATCCTTTGTGACGAGCTCTAAAAGCTTGCTGCACACAGTAATCCCTGCGCGTGTCTGATGAGACATGAGACGTTTGTCAGGGGAGCCTACTGTTGCAGGGAATGTTTCTAAGGTTTAAGAAGTCAAGAAAAAGTCAGTCCAATTTCTCTGTGATTTCTCCATGAGTTGTTTCTCACTATGTACTGCTCTCTCAGCAAGACCATTTGACTGTGGAAACTCTGGTCGAATGAGTGAAGTCCAGTTGCTTCGCAAACTCGTTGAACTGCTGACTTGTGTACTGTCTGCCATTGTCAGTAATGAGCGTGTGTGGTGCACCGCTGCTGTGGTTGAGTGACCGAGAAGGTTGATCTCAATCCATCTTGAACAGGAATCTACATGGACCTGGTATTGTTTTCCATGCCAGGTGAAAATTTCGGGAGGTCTGTAGAGGTTCTGTCTTCTGATGCGCATTAGTGCTGCTGCACACTGTGCAAGAGTGCAGCTCTTCCGTGATGTCTTTTGACATTGCCAGCCAAAAGATGAAACCTTTAGCTCTGCACTTAGTTGCTTCAATGCCTAGATGACCTTTGTGGACAATATTGGTGTATTCTTTGTGCAGGGATTGGGAAATCCTCCACGCTGAGGTCATCCCTGTATGGAAAAAAGGGGCTAGAGCGGGCTTGACTTGGCTGTCTCTGATGGGCTATCCTCGCTGGATGACTGTGCTGAGGGCTTGTAGCACATCACTCACTGTCATCACTTCATAATCAGTGTGTTCAACTCGGCTTTGTGACAACGGAGCGAGTGGAGCTCTAGAAAAGGGTGTCAGCAAGATACATGTGCTTTCCTTTTTTGTAGACTAGGCGGATGTCATAACTCTGTAGTCGGAGTAACATCCCCTGGAGCCAGGCAGGGGTGACATGGATGGGCTTTTTTCATTACAGTCACCAGGGGTTGGTGGTCAATTGCTTTGACAATTGTTGCCTTTCCATAGACAGAATCTTTAAATTTTGTGCAGGCGAATACCATGGCTAAAAGCTCCTTCTCCATATCAGCATATGTCCATGGGAGCATGCGATGCAAAAAACTTGCATGTGTTACATACACATAGTCGAAAATTATTTTCTAGGACTCACGTAAACTTCCCCATTGTGAAAAGGTGCAAATCTTTGTTCCAGACATGGAGAGGTGCAAGGCAGATCAGGAGCAGAAATTTTGTTTCTAGACTTTGCGACTCATTTTATTTCTCTGTTAAGAAAAATATTCAATCAGATAGTTATTTGTGGTGAATGAAATGCAGTTCCAATTTCAACCCATTTTAAGCACCACATCTAAAGTTCAAGCACTTTTTACACCTTGAAAGGACTATTAAAATCCAAGGATTTTCAAGGCTTTCAAGCACCCCTACAAACTCTGAAAATTCTACTGTTGAAGAAATATTGATCACTGCAGAAACTCTTCAACTGCTTTTATTGTTATTTAAATGTTTGCTGTATTTTCTTGTAAGTTCTGTGGCTTTTCTGTGTGAATGTAGATTCTGTATGTATGGTTTTATGTTCAATATACTTAAAATTGTTAATCTTGTGGGTGTAATTAATATTTTTACATTTGATTTAATCAATTGTAAACCGTTTTAATGTTAAATAATAGTGATATTTCCAATTCATTGAACACATTTAATTAAATCCAAAGAGCCCTTTCCACATCCTTTATGAGCATGCGCAGAGAATGAAAAAAAATCTTCGCGCATACGCATTGACCTTCTTCATCTATGCCACAGTGTGCTTTGGCCACGTGTCTGGAAAGAGGGATTAATCGCGATTCATCCGTTGGAGTTATGGTAATTTCTTCGTATTTTTAATAGAATATAATTTAACTAGTACTTTGTGATAATATATGGGTTATATTTTTCTGATAAAAATATAGGCTTTATATTTTTCCGGTAAATATATGGGCCGTATGTGTTCTGTAGGTTTTAGCATTTTGCTAGCATTGGAAACATTTGTTTGCATATTCAACGTTACTGCACATCTGAATATTTCCCAATCTGTGTTTAAAATTTCATTAGAACTCCAAATAGCACATTTTGCCACAACTCAGTGACACAGTAGATTATTTTTTTCACTCAAACTTGGTATAAATACTGCAAATGTGGTGGTAGCCCGCATACCTCATATAAATGTGACAGTGTGTAGTTTTTGTCATTAATTTCTGGAAATATCTATTGAAATATTTTTGATTCCTTCTGAACAACACTCCTATGCAACTACACTTTTCTTCCTACTTTCGGGTGGTACACCACGCTAAAGCAGCGTATTCCACGACCCAATGTATCGGAATCAGTGTAACTGGACTCCCAATGGCAGAAAACTGCACACTGTCACTTAAAATATTGGAATAAAAGCTGCTTTTCCCTTTAGTATATTTTGGAAAAGCAGACATTTGTGAAAGTAGGTGTCTGCTGTGCATCCAGTTAAAAACCATACATCTAGATTTTCAACTAGCAGGCTATGTTACATTACTGTGACAGCTAGTGCGCATGCGCCAACCAGCGTGCAGCCTGTTACAGTCGCTCCTGCTTTTCTCTTAGTTTAGCTCTTTTTTTCTTACGTATTCTTTTTTTTCTGACTTGTATTTTCCTCCATTTTCTATCTCTTACTCAATCATGTGGATTGAGAGAGTTTTTGTTCTTCTGGTGGCCGTGGAACTGTTAC